GTGAGAGTCTGGAGAGCTTGGATGGGGCAGTCTCTCAACAGGCGAGTCGGAGAGGACTAGCGCCCACAGCACAGAAGCATGGATAGACAGAGGACTCTGACTCAAGACTCAAGCCAGTGGCATAGACACAAGATGGAGAAATGATCGTAAGTATGTTTGTGAGAGCTGAAGGAGTGGAAAAAGCTTCACTAAGCTCAATGTATTCTGCCGGGCGGAATACCAGCAGGTCATTGCAGATCTGTTGGAGACGGTCATCGCTGCTTCCCTTGGCAATAGTGGATGCTCCTTATCAGAAGCGTGGGCCTTTGCAGCAGCAGCAGATCCATGCAATTGCCTCATCTCTCGCTACAGACACCCGAGACATGAGTGTCCTGCTAAGATCTTCGACATAGGCATGAGTTGCGGATGCCTTCATTGTTGGACTGGGAGACAGAGTGCCATGTGTTGGGACATGTTGGCCGGGGAGGGACTGATACCGTCCAATACAATATGTGAGTATATGTGAGTAGGATGCGTCATATATTGTGTAACTCAAAATCTGCCCCAACAGCACAAAACCAACGACCTTGTTGGATTTAGTTTTTTTGATTTGCTGTGGTTTGCAGGACATGCCAAAAACCAACGGCAGCATCCAGTGAGTTGCCCAGCTTCGGGAAAGCTTAGTGAGATCATTTTCAGGCTATAAAGGAAGAGAGCAAAGAAACGAGTAAGGAAAGAATCAGAGTCAACGACGACAATATTACAATATATATATATATATATTATATAATCATCAAACAGGCACTACGAATCATAGACGGGCTAGGCTGAGAAGCTACAGCTCCAGAGCACACTCTGCTTCGGGGGGGGAGCCAAGCCTGAGATGAAAAGTAGTGAGCTTTTCACACGCGTCTGGCTAGCTTGGCCCGCAGAAGTACGCAAGGAAGTATAAGGAATGGTTTTGCTATAATCTACTGTGAGTGCAAGACACTAGTTGTCGAAAGCGTCTTTTTTGCTTTTCCTTGGTGCAGCGCATTCAATTACAGGTCGGAAGGCCTGCTGCAGTGGCCCGTAGAGCCAAAGAGAGAGGAATGTGCTTCGCAGCTTCCCTTTCGAGGTGAAGTTGTGACCCTCGGCACCTTCCTATGATTTAGCTTCGTTCACGAAGACTTAAGAAAAAGCAGCACCGATGCCAGGCCTTAGAGCATGGCCCAAATCCATGGAGCCCATATGAGCATCCGATAATTTTCTGTGCATGTATTTTATCAATGAGCTGTCTTAAGTATTTATGAATTGAACCTTGCATAACTGATAGGGGCCATACTGATACCCTTGCTTGATTTAAAGTAGCTCATTGCCTGCATTCCAAAACGCTGGAAACCCATAGGGGCCAACCCAAAACACTTTAGCATCTTTTAGCATTGGGGACACAAAGGAGTTGTGAAGGCCACTTCTGTGGCATTTGTTGAACTAATCCATTTCCTTTCTGCCTTTTGCTCAAGGGTTCCAAACTGCGCATTGGCTTCGGTGAAGCGGAAAGGCGGCTCGTTGTGCAAAGCTACTCTCGTTACATTTTGCAGACTCCGGTACTGTTTCCATCCTCACTCCACCCGAAAGATGAAAGGATCATGGTGAACATCCCGAAGACGCGGAATACTTATTGCCGCGCGTGCAAGAAGCACACACCTCACAAGGTGCAAGGGGTCTCAAGTCGTAGATAGTTACACACGCCGCTGCAAAGACCTGAGCACACCAAAAGGATGCGAAGTAATTACAATGCGGTAGGACTCCGTTTTCCAGGGGCGGTCAACTAAATTGACACTGGAAAGGACACTGTCTTGTTTGATTCTTTGAAGATATTGAAAGCTGCAGTATGGAGCACACTTGCTTCAGCCCGGGCCAGGTGTCGCAGTACAAGACTGGCAAGGCTTCTTTGACAGCCCAGGGCAAGCGACGATACGACAAGAAGCAGGTGAGAATGATGTTTGCAGTCACAGCATTGCCTGCATGGCCTTTGCTCGGCCTTTCCAGTCAAGTGGCCTGAGTGAGGCTGGCTTTGGTGGGCAAACGAAGCCAATCTTTCACAAGAAGGCTCATTGCCAGGATGAGCTAGGAGTCCACTTATTTGGAGCAGCCCACTTGCTGCTCACAGAATCCATTATGCAGGCAAAGACCACCAAGAAGATCGTGCTGAAGTTTGAGTGCACAAAGTGCAAGGACATCCTGCCACTGTCAGATTCCCTCTTCCCTTTGCTAGCACAGAATTTGTAGTTGAGGGTGCTGTCCTTCAATGCAGGAGCTCATTGCAATTTACATTTATATAGTTACTCCTAGCTGGTTGTATAGCTTCAAGAACATTGCTGCCCCGCTTGGAAGAAGAAGCGCATGAAGCCCATCAAGCGTACCAAGCACTTCGAGCTTGGAACCGACTCGAAGAAAGGCAGGAAGCTTCCCTGTTTCGCATACTTCATCATATGCCACAGCATCGGCCAAGTTAGAATTTGGAGTTTCTTGTAGACGCCATTTTTGTTCTGAAATCGCGTGCTCTGGTCACCACGTTCAATGTTGAAAGTAGTGAGCAAACCAATAGTGCAGTCGCGAGGTAAGAATGAGTACGGCGGCAAGTACCGATGATAGCCTTTGCTGATTTTGCGCAGACCTGGAGAAAGAAGTTGCCCGAGCGTTCTTTTATGCAGGTGACAACTAGCACCAGCCAAGTCCGTGGCCTTTTATTTACAGTTGCCTTTGCAGTTGTGTCAGTTGTTGTAGTTGTGGGCATGCGAAGCCACGTTCAGTTGCGAGGTAATAGTAGAATAGCAGCTGATATTGAACCTTTGCTGCTTCTCGTTGCCAAGACTTCTCAATTGCACTACGCAGCAGTTCAAGCAGACACCCAGTCAGCATGGTTGACACACTGGCTGAACTCAACTGAGCCAGCTCAATCCCAGTCCAGAATTTGTACTTTGCCTTTATTGCTGGAGGCAGTTAAACATGTTTTTTCAACCAGTCTTTTTATATCCTTGGCCACTTGAAATCTGAAACCCGAAGACACTGAAGCTGAGCCCTCAGTTGCCACGTGTGATCCCATGAGACATCATCAACATCACGGTGATGAAATGCAAATCACCGCTATGACTATGACTGAATACCCACGAACCTGAACGCCGACCTCAAGCTCTAGGTGTACAGTATGGGGTGGGGAGCTGCTGTGTCGGAAGGCCTCTCTGCTTTCACCCTCCATCTTCTTGCCCTTGGCGGCTGGCTTATCCCTTGGCCTTGATTTGGGCCCCGCCTTTGGACTTTGGGCAGCCCCGTTCCTCCTTGGCCTTCAGCCTGTGCACTCGTCTCCGACTCAGTCCTTTCCTGAGGAGAGGTTGCGCCGGAGGACCGCAAACCGGCTCCAGACCAGCCTGATCTTCGCGCGGGAGAGGACTGACTCTCGCCTTGCGGACCCAGAGTTCAACCAGTCAGGAAATGGCTGAGGAGGTTCAAGGGCAAGTTCTTTGCTTGAGGCCTCAGACCTCAGACATCTCAAAGTGGGAATTTTTGGAAGTGGAAGACGGAAGAGTCATTCCAGGAGAGGGCAACCTTTTGTTTTCAACTTCGGGGACGGGCCCCCAGACATTGCGTTGTTTTGCATCACGCTTGACTTCGGAAGATCGGCTTTTGCAGCTGGTCATTGGGCCAGAGCTTTTTGGACTAGCCGCGTGCCCAATTGCAGCATCTATCACCCTGAGCCACCTATCATCCTGAGCTTCCAGCTTCTTTTTAGATTCTTTCGCACGGGCCGGGATTTGACCTGGTGGGGACTTCGTTACACAGAGATTCAGATCGACTTGGCGGGGAGTTCGCGAACGTCGCTTCATTGAGAATGTGTCTTCATTGACCGAGCTGCGGGTCTTTGCGCAGGAGGCAAGGGTACTACCTTCCGCCCTCAACCTCGTTCAGTACGTTCCCCTCTACTTTCATGTTTCCAGGGCATAAAACGGAAGCCGTGGGGCGTTGTTCCTGTTCAACACTTTGGCTACTTCCATACAAGTTTCTGTGCATTCTCCTCCGGGGCAAGGAGAACCCCTGTTTCAGCCCTGACAATGTGATGGAGGCCTGCGGTCCCGATCTGTAGCAGGATGCCCAACGGCCTTTCTAGCAGCAACGAGGATCTAAGTATCTTGGCAGAGCTTTTGATATCACGCGTATGGCTTTGAAGTTTTGGTATGCAGGCCGAGAGTTCTGCAAGAGAGCTTCTTTAGGGAACTTAATTCTGCCCACCTTCGGCTTTATATGCAACAAACTTTGTTCCTTTATCAAGGCGGACGGCTTGCGATTGAAGTTTTGACATGCTCGGCGCAGGTCGGTCGCAAGACTTTCCATCCTTACCTCCTTATTTGTGAGAGTTGGTTGCTCGTCAGCCCTCCAGAAGGGAAAGCATTGGGGCATGAGTGAGCTGCAGCAGTTGAAGCTACCTTGTCGGGGTTTTGAGCGGATCTTTTTGGTGTTTAAGAGGCCTGTGATCGGTTTGCTCAATGTATGAGGATTGGCCCGACGCAGCTTTGATACCTGTGCTCGCTGTGCTTTGGTTGTTGCAGACATTGCTACGCTACGTGTCTGAGGCGCTTTATGCATCGGGCACTTCTGAAGAATGGCGGGCCGTTGTATCTACGCCCCACAGACTCACGCAGAAAGTTGCGCTCCATGATGAACTGCCGGAGGAGGAAGTCAAGCCGAGACTAGACCCCTAGCTACTAGTATTTTCTCTTGAATTCATGTTGTGTTGCTGTTGAAAAAACTTTTGGGTCATTTTGAACTTGTTTGTGGACCCGCGTTGGATCTCACCAGCCTCAAGTTTTCGTGGTGGAGTGGCTTTTCCATTTGGTGGAGAGGCCCTTTGTGGGGCTTCTTGTTGCAACCTCCATGTACGTGGTGTGCATGGTTGTGCTGTGAACCAGCTAGCGGTGGGATCTCTTCAACTTCTCCGGAAGGCCTTCCTGCGCTGTCTTTCCGGAGCTCTTGATAGGCGCTTCCCTGCCAAGACCAACGCCTTCCAACGTATCAGGCTTTACAAAGGAGCCTCCTTTGATTAGAGTTGACTCTTGTTAGTTTGGGTCTATACACCAGAATTTCCAGGTCTTTTCAAAGCTTCCTGGCCACCTTCTCAATTCTCACCCAACGATTCTACGGGCTTCAGAAGGTTGATACCTTGGTGTCCATTGAACTTTCAGGAGTTGACAAGCTCCCAAAGTGCTGCCCATCATGACCTCGTTGCTCAGCTGATCGTCGCAAGGCCATCTATCACCAAGGCTAAAAACAACCTCGGGCTTCTGCGCAGCCAGAGTGCTTGGACAAGCAGCTGACGGAGAGCTCGATATGGCTGACTTGGCGCGCGGGTTTTTGAGTGGGTGTGCCTGGGAATCGTCTAATCAAAGCTCGCGCTTCCATGTTCACACCCAACACCCCGGCGAATCCATGCAAGACATGGCTGTGCCTCTCTCTCTCTCTCTCTAGAAAGATGGGTCAAACTGGTTCGGTCTTGTGCTCTTGATCAGGCAAATAGAAGCACTTACCGCTTTACCAGTGCCGTCCCCCGACTTTGACTCAATGGATTTCGACTCCATCGGGCGAGACTCCTGCGTTGCTCTTACGGTATGTGGGCGAGATTAGATTTGTTGTGGGCGTGGGCCCTGCAAACAGTACGCTGAAACCATAAACTGATTGACTACAAGGAAAGAGCGCGGAGAAAGCAAAGGCAGGGCGTTGGGACCTTGCCTACTCTCGGACGGCTTCCAAAATGGCAACTTCTCCTAGCCATGGTTACGACGTGTTTGCTATGGCCCTTGTGCAAGAAAGGGAGAAGACATAGATCTCCAGCAGGCGCCCGCTTAGCCAACACCCCTCCCTGCCTGTATATTGTTGCTTTCGGGCACCTGCAAATGCCGACCAAGTTGCTCCTCCTGCTCGCAGGGGCTCAAGTCAAGCGCTCTCAGATCTCCATGCTTTTTCGCCGCAGATTTGCCCTAGTAGCTGAAAGCAGTACTGGCCCTCGCTGGTCTTTTCCCTGAGGTGTGGATGGTGAGGTTCTCGATATCCGATACCCCAGACTGTGTGGAGTTTCTTCTATCAACGCAAAGAGCCTTGGTTGTATGGGTGAAGTGGGCTTGAACTGCTGCCAATGATGACAGCCTGTGCACTCCATGAAGGACTGAAAGAGTCCAAGAAGAAGCTGAGTTGTTGACTGAATAACCTGAACGCCGACCTCAAGCACTCCCGATGCCCACCCGCCCAATAACCTGTTACTGTTGGTTGAGTGTCCGTGATGACAGGCTGTGCCATCCATGAAGGATGGGAAAAGTCCGAGCAAAGCTGAGTTGTTACATATGTATATACACATATTAAGACATACATACAGTATATGTATCTATATACTGTATAAAGGCAGCTGAAGCTTTTTGAGCTGTTCGAAACAATTGTGAGGCTGTACGTGCCATCAACTTCGTATGGCTTCACCCAGCGAGTGGGACACTCAGGGCAAGTGCGTGCGCGCAATGATAAAGCAAATTGAAAGAGGTTGTGGAACGAGCGCCGCTGCACAGGCAAGCTTCATGCCTTTCTTTTGACGCGAAAAACCATGGCTAGCCTACTAGATTTACATCAACTTGGGAGGCATCGGTTGGGTCAAGCTTGACACCGATCGTCAAAAGCCAGCTCAACCAGATGGACTCTTGGCTGCAATGATCCTCGTCGCTCTCAACACAGCATTGCAATGGCACATCCATGTAGCAAACAAATTGAACATATCCCCCGCTTGTATTTATGTGCGTTTTTGCAATTTGAAAACCGCCACAAAGGGCACTAAATTTGTGGTGGAACACTTCCAAAACCCATACCCCCGGTCTATGGGGAGAGGATTGCTAGCCTATCCCGGTCACCTGATGGACGGGATTCAATGCAGAAAAATCTATATATATGAGTATTTTTTTGTGGCCGGAGCTCAACGCACTATTCCTGAGCAACTACAGGCACGAAGTTGGAAAGGCTAGCTGTTCGGGATGGATTTGGCCTTCTCCAAGAGCACTGAACATAATGTTGGTTGTCTGAATCGCAACAAACATCCTAACGTAAACGTTTCCTATTGGAAAACTTCAAGAGGTGTTCTCCACAGCAAGAACACAGTAATTATATACCTGACTATTCAAACTATGCCGCATGGATCCTTGACCCTTGACCTGGGGTGGGGGATTGAATTCTTTAAACGACTTTACCTTGATGCACAAGGT